TGAAAAACTGCCCTTCTTTGGGAAGCTGTCACGAAATCATTTTTTGACGCACAGGGATGATTCTGGTACCGTTGAATGCGTTGAAAAGTGAGCTTTAAGATGAGCCCAAAAAGTGGAAAACGCCTAAATTGAAAATTTTAGGTTAGACGGTCCCCTTAAGCTTATCCCTGTGCCGTGGTTGATGGAATTGATGCAAGTTTACCAGACATTTGATGCTGCGATGTGCCTTGCCTAATCCTGCTGCTTGCTGATTGCCTGCCTGCTTTTGCCCCTTTATGGGTGAGTAGTGGCATTTGCCTGAACCAGGTTTTAATGCTCCCACTCTTTTATATATTCACCCATTTGTGTTACATTTATAATTGTGTCATGTGTGCCAATGCATTTATTGTGTTATATTTTATTATGTTACATACTTGTATATCTGTCACTTGCTCTCCTGTCGTGCACTAAAGCCAATTCCTGCATTTCGTTCACTTGTAGGGCATCAAGAGTTGAGTCTAGAAAAACCTGGGAATTAAACTGAATCCAAGGGCACCCTTCACCACAACTTCAGTGCAGCAAGTGAAATTGGATTGCTCCTTGTGGCGGGCTGTTGACAAGCACTGAGAGAACAGTGATTCCTTTGAGTAACCTGCCTCAACGTTAGTGGAGCACATAGAGAAGAGGCTTGCTGAACTAATTTTCATATTGTCCGGAATTATTGTGCCAGTGCAAATATGTTTTTATAGTGATGTTCTAGTAAAAAACCAAGCCATTTTAGATGGTAATTAGGGATTGATTTTATTGCCTGACCATGCGTTTGCCATTTGTATCTTGTGTGATGTCAGCCTGTGTGGGTGACCTTGGTTAACTGGTTCTTTTGTTTTAGTGATTAGGACTTGCGATTTGCTAGTTGCAACCAGGACTGAGGGCCTGGTGATTTTGCGAGATTTCGGCTGTGTTTTTAAAGTGCAAGCTCTAACTGCTAGCGTGCCTTGCTGCTTCCATACCATCATAACACTACTAACCCCATTTCACTCTGCACCAACTGGCGGTGTCTGCACACTTTGTTGGTTGTATGCTGGTTTCAGTGTTTCATAATATATTTCTCTAACCGTGCCCAGGTGGTTTCAGTAGCCTTACATGCCAGTCTTGTCCACCGCTGTACCATCTACCTCTTTAATATAAATATTAAACTTATCGGGGTCGAACACCTCCCCTTACAATGCCAAGGTGGATGCCACTGGATGCCGGTTGCCAATTATGCTTTTCCATTAATAGCGATTTACAATCAATATGGTCAATGTGCCATATTCATCTACATGGAACGATTGGAACTAGCATCTTAGCGTGTAGTTATGTGTACCCAAGCCCATAATTATTTGTGATTTTGTACACCCAAGCATACACACTCAGAGCCACTAGAACTACATGCTCTAGCACGCAGTTCTGATGGCTGTGAGTGTATATTTGGCAATTTGAGCACCCAAGCATATGCGCTCAGAGCCACCAGAACTACGTGCTGTAGTGCGCAGTTCTGATGCTGCGAGTGTATATTTGAGTGATTACATTAAGAGCCTCATGGCACTGACGATGGGTAACAAAGCAGCTTGTGATAAATTATTTGAATAAACTGTTAGACTACATCATTAGTCTAGCTACCTGAACTCTGCGCTATAGCGTCATAAGCGTGTACCAATTCCAAACCCAGGGGCCATACTTTCAAAACTCACTAAGTTAACGTAAGTATTTATGCTCTATTTTCTTGTCTACAATTGGTGAATTTTGCTTGAAAGGCCGTCAATGATTGGCTGATGGTCTTACGATCTCTTAACTTTTTTTGAAAGTATAGGCCCAGGTCACCAAACCCAAACCAGTGCAACCCAAACCAAGTCATCCCAATTCAACCTCACTCAATTCATCACAACCAAATTCAACCAACTAAATCTAACTGAACCCAACCCAATGCAACCAAACCCAATTCAACCTAACTGGACCCAACCCAATGCTACGCAAACCAATTCAACCAAAAACAGATGTGTGCAACGCGCCAGACATGTGCATATTATGATCGTATGCACAACAAATTGGGCGTGCCAGGCGTATGCACATTATGATTGGGTGACATACAAGCAATCAAACAATCTAAAGATGGGCGCGGTGACAGCAGGGTTGATGGAGCAATCCATAGTTTATTATTGGTCATGGATGCCTGAGTCATAGTTTATGATCAATCAATTTTAGGTCAAGGTGGCTTGTGTAGACCTTGGAAAAAATGCTGGTAACTTGAGCTGAAAGGCCCTACTTTACAGCCTAGACTAGATGAAGTTATGCAAGAGCATATATCATGTTGGAATGGAATAACAGTTATAACATCTTCCATTTCATGTGTATTCATGTTTTGTGCCCACTCATTCAGGCTAGATTTCAACTACCAAGATTCTTATAATTTGATTGCACAACATTTGTATAGGCTTTTGAAAGCAATTTTGTTAATACCTTATCATATTTTTTACAAGTTGATAGTCTGGCTAACGTTTTAAAGGATGTTGAAATTTTAAGGCATGTACTTTTCACCTTATAAAGTGCACATTGCAGTTTGGGACATGCATGCATGATGCATATAGCATGGCATGTACAGTACACATCACAATAAAAGTATTAAAGAATTGCAGACTGTACCATTTTTCTTAATATATGAAGTTTGTCAACTGCTGTAAGAAGTAAGAATATGTGAAATTGAGTTATAACCCAGGCATTTTTGTCTCATTTACAAATTACAGATGGCTTCTATCCAGTTTTGAGCTTTGGCAGGCTATTTTAATAGTTGACCCGAATAGTAGTTTTTTAACACTTTGACTGCTACTCGCAAAATAGCCTGTATTCCAGTGAAGCAACTCATTCAAAGTTGAATAACTTTAGTTAGAGACAAGACTGTGAGATGAGGGCTAGTGCGCTGCTCTTGTCTAAGCAAGTTCTACAAGCTTCTGACATAAAAACCGTGAGCCTTTATTGGTGCATGTTGCCTGGAATGGAAACTTTCATCTTTCTAGGCAACGTGTGCCATATGAGGTACACGGCATTTAGCATACAACTACAATAAAAATTTGCATCACACAGGTACTAACACTTGAAAAAAACATTTTCTGTGCAAATGAAATTGGATTGCAACTGCAATAATCAAACTACAAATCATTCTGGGGTAAAATGCTGCTAAATGGGAAGTTTATAATTCATTTAGATGATTTTTACAAAACTGCTCTAAGCAAAGCATGAAGTGGTATACCAACAACTGTTCAAAACTTCAAGTTATTGGCAAAAACTGTAGCAAATGCCTGCAGGTGCTTGGTGATCAGTTCTATAGTCAGTAAAAATCGATGTGAATTGCTGAAGTTGTTGAAGATTACTGAATGTATTTTCACTAGTAATAGAACAGACATGTGGAGAAATATTTCTATAACCAAATCCCAATTATTTGCGTTCCAGCGCTAAAGTATTTGAAGCTGAGGATCTGAACTTCATGTCATGACGAGCTACTGATCTGAGTCTTGCTTTAACATAATTGCAAATAATGAAGTTAGTTAGTGCTAAAGTGAGATGGAAAGCTCTAAAAGTAACTATCAATTGCTAGCCCAGTGCTCGGAATCTGTATCACTGTTTATCTTGCTTTTTACAGTGTCATTCTGCTTCTGTGTGAGCTTCGACAACTTTCGAATGACTAATATCTATTTTTCTACTGCTATAATCCATACCAATACCAAAGAAATAATTTTCAGCATATTGGAACAGGGTAACATCCTTTATTTAATACTTATTCTTTTTTTTTACCCACTCATTATTTCAGGCTAGATTTAAACAACTAAAATTCTTATGATTCAATTGCACGACGTTTGTATAGGTTTTTGAAAACATTATTGTCAATTATCTATCATATTCTTCACAAGTTTATGATCTGGCTGTTATTTTAAAGAGTTTTTTAAAAAATTGAATTTTTAAAGTGTATGCCATATATGGCGCACGTCGCAGTTTGGGACATGCATGCATGTACCATATATGGTGCACGTCGCAGTCAAAGTGTTAACCTGAAAACACATTTAATTTCTTGTTGAATTCATGAGACATAATTTAAATCATTAATTGCAATCAAATCATGATCATCAAATTGTTTAGTCCCTGTTCCACTTACACAAATTCTTCTGTAATTGGCAACAGTAAGGAAAATAATTCGCATTATTTTTAGTTTGGAGCTGCATAATTATGCCATTATTGGATTTTATATCTGATTCAGTAGTACTTTTTTAGGGCATTTTCTCATTTATGGAAAAATGCACTATTGTGCTTGCCATGTCCATCTGTCTGTCTGTCCATCTGTGACCACATTTTTGTCGACGAGATAATGCGCTCTCTGTGACTCACTGCACTGAGTACTGAGTTATATTTTTTAATTAGTATTGTTGATGGTACACTGTAATGAAAGCAATGTAGAAGAATGAATGCATAGTGCATATAGGATCACAGCATGGGTGGGACCCATTCTTTAAAATTGGTCAGGAGTCACTTGTGAAGGAGACAAAAGCACCCATCTTTGCAGTCAATTTCACCTGTTCTTATGGTCTTTGCCCAATTTCTTTCATAAAAATAAGGATAACTGTCAATTTTTATCCATAATTTTTAAAAATCACTTGTAAAACAATAGTTTTTACCTACACATTTTTTTTAACTTAAGCCTGATATTTCAGATTAGGGTGAGACCTACTGTTGAATCAGAAACCAGAAGTGCTAGGTATGAATCAACAACAGGCAACTAGCAAATAATCATGTAGAGCTCCACGTCTTGCTTTTTAGTGCATTTTCTCATTTATGGAAAAAAGGCGCTATTGTGCTCGTCATGTCTTCCCGTCTGTCTGTCCATGACTTCACATTTTTGTTGTCAAGAAAATGCGCGCTCTGTCACTCACTGCAGTGAGTACTGAGTTTTATTTTTTCAATTTGTTCTTCACAAATAATCTATCTGTCTTCACAAATAAATAATGTTTACCTTCCTGTTCAGAAATTAGACAGGCATGTCAAGTGTTGTTGCAAACATTGACCTTTCTTCAGAATCTCTCAAATCTATCACCAGTGATGCCAGTCATATGCAGTACATTCCATGCCACATTGAATTTGATGGGGAAGCCAATTTGAACAAATACTTCACTCCATTTGTACAAAAGAAGTTGGATGAATCCCATGAAAAATGTAAGTATACATGTAAGTATAACAATGCAAGTATATTTAAACTTATACATAAGTATAAAGAATCTTTTGATGTCTGATATCTGCTGTTCAGTTTGCGCTTATTATTTTGTGAATTATGACAACTTATTTAATCTTTAGTGTGGAGCTAGCTGGCCTCTGCATCCACCATGTATTACTCTACTAATCACTTCGTACTTTGATGTTGCAGGTTTAACTTCCTCATTCCGTGGATATCCTTTGTGTGGCAAACAAATGAAAGTTCCAGATGTAAGTATATTTCCAAGTATTTTTATACAGGAATGGAATAGTGAACTGGCATTTTTCTGCCCGTTTTGTTTAGGGCTTGGTTTGAATGATAATATTTTCCTTATTAGTTTTTGATTGCTCAATGCTGATTGCTGTGATATTTTAGTAGAGTAATTAATTGCTAATCTCAAACATTTGGTCTACTGCCAGAGCCACAGCTTTGACTGCTTAGGGAGGATTCAGTAAATTTGATACGAGATTGCATCTGCTAGAGAGTCCAGGCTTTGCTGGCTTCTCACACAATATTTATTTATAATTTTTGCGTTGTGATATCAAGCTGGTAAGAACATGCTGCACAAGTAGATGACTTTTGTGTGTTAGGAATTGTGAAAATAAATATTCATTTTGAGTGTACCTACTAGGTATTACTGGGACCCATGGTGGGAAATTGTGTTGAATATTCATGTATTGTATGTTTTGACTTGTTCATTGCTGTTCATTAACGTTTTTATGTTCAGTAATTCAGATTGCATTGCTTCCCTTGTTTCTTTTGCATATCAAGTCTGTTTTTTTTTATATCAAGTCTGTTTTTTTTTTACTCTGCAGAATTTTGTTGGTGTTGTAATGAAAGAGAGTAAAAGTGTAGAACCGGAGAATGCCAATGTAAGCAACGGAGAGGCCAGTGATGTTGTTGAGCCAACTATAAAAAACCTTAAAGGTGAGGATTAATACATTATTTCAGGAGTGTCCAGCCAGTTCCTTGAAGGATTTTGAGCCACCACAGCATTGATAGCTGATGCACCCCTCAATTGCACCCTTTTTTGTTCACAATATGGCTTCAGAAGGCATGCTTAGCTGTTTTCTGAAGCCCTAAGTAATTTCTTGATGGTGTTACCTTATTTGTGCACCTAAAATTTCTATTTCTATGTCAACATGTGGATTATTTCCAATGCCTTAATCATGGGTATTATTTTTTAACATGGTTTCAAATTTTATGGAAGGTAAAATTTTTGGAAAACACCAACTGCAAGCATGTTTTTTATTACCCACAGACATTGCCAAAATATTGAGTGTTAAAAATAATTATCAGTGGTACTAACATAGTATATAAAGCATTATTTATTAAACATTTTAGGTTTTACCCTCAATTTATTACATATATGTTGTGTAACAACATAGTTGGTGTTTGGAGCTGGCAGTATTTTTTAGCGCATATTCTCATTTATGGTAAAAATGCACTATTGTGCTCGCCATGTCCGTCTGTCTGTCCATCTGTCTGTCCATCTGTCTGTCCGTTTGTCCGTCCGTGACCTCAAGTTTTCGTCAACGAGAAAATGAGCTCTCTGTCACTCACTGCAGTGAGTACTGAGTTATGTTTTTTAATTCTGAATCAATGTTTTGTTCAGAAATTCAAAATTGCACTGAATTGAGAGTACTAATAGAGAGAAATTTTTTTAATTTAACATGAATATTTGTCTATAACACATCTCAAGTCACTGTTCTTAAATAGGCAGTTAGAAAGTATATGGGTGAGGTAAACAATCATGCCATGCATGACTTCAAAGGCTAGTCTGTCTAAATCTGGGCTTGCTTAGTCCTAGTTGAAGCAAGGATATCCATTCCATTTTAACATTTACCATGGATCAAATTTCTGAATAAAATAGAATTCACATAACTAACTGAAGGGTTGCAGTGTAGTTGCCTTGTTGCAGTGTATTATCTACTATATACAGATTTACTAATCTGAGGTTACAATGTTCATGAGAGCTACATTTTATTTGTAATGTAGTTAATGTTGTGTGTGTTTAGCATACTTTCTCATTTATGGAAAAAAGGCACTATTGTGCTCGCCATGTCCGTCTGTCTGTCCATCCATCTGTGACATCAAGTTTTCGTCCACGAGAAAATGCGCACTCTGTCACTCACTGCGGTGAGTACCGACTGAGGTTTTTTTTTTGCAGGAGTGTGTGCTTTCGACCAATTCACTTACTGGAACTGGGACAGACAGCCTGGGCACGCTGACAAATATCAGCAAGCGCTAGACTGGCTCGAGCTGTCTCTCGAGGTGAGCTGATGCAAGGCTGCTGTGAAAACCTGCCAACCTTGCGTTAGTGCATGTGGTAAATGAAAGATTTTTTATCTTGAATTTATTTTCCACTCACTCATCTCTAACTTTTTTAGCTTGAATTTAGTTTCCGCTCACTCATCTCTAACTTTTTTAGCTTGAATTTAGTTTCTGTTCACTCATCTCTAACTTTTTTAGCTCAAATTTATTTTCCGCTCACTCATCTTTAACTTTTTAGCTTGAATTTATTTTCTGCTCACTCATCTCTATCTGAAGGAATAGTGGCAAACCAGAAACTTTTTTGTTGTCCTTAGTTACTGAGCTCTATAACTAGACCAGTAAGTATCCTGGATGCCATTGTCAACTTACAGAAGATACTGAACAAGATCGTGAAGCAGATCAGCAAATTAGAATGAACTGGTTTTTAAAATGTATTTTGTTTGTTAAAATGACCTCTGTTTTCCACTATTGTCTCGGACGCACTTGCTTGTAGTTTAGTGACGGGTGTCTCACTGCTGTAGTTGCCCAATCATTCAGAAAACATTTAATAGCCTCAACGCTTAAAGCAAAGTTGTACCGTAGAAATTGATGCTCACGTAGCTGTGCTGATCTAATGTAAGCATAAGCCATTTCGGCAGATGATTAATAATTTGTATAATTCTCCTCAGTGTAGTTCGGCAAAAGGTTTTCTTTTATGCAAGTGTGATTGAAGACCAGTGCATGCTTATTATTAATAATCTTCTATTTGTTTTTTTAATGAGTCAAACAAAATTTCTTGCTGGCGCCGGGAAATCAAAAAGCAGGTTACCAAATGACATTTTAACGGATTGCGATGTTTCGAAAATACAATTTTCATTATGAAGCTGGTGAAGGTTTTACAACACTTGAAATTGAACTTCAGTCTTCAGAAATGATAGTAGTACATATCAATGGTATTGTGGATAAAATTTAAAATATTAGCTTAAAATTACTCTCAAAATGATTTCAGCGTCCGGCCAAATCCCGTAGTAGTTTGGAGGTTGATAGCTGGAGACTCGCTCTTGATAATGAGGGCCTCAGCTATCGCCAGTCTCGATGGGTCGGGGCACCGCATAACTATGCTGGTGCAGGCCTCCAATGTCGCTCGGGTGATGGTCTCATTGTGTGATTGTGAGCCTCCCGCATGTGGTTCTTAGGTCCTCTAGATTGTAGATGGCATGTGAGTCGGCGGCTTAAGGTCGTGCTTGTAAGGCTAATGTAGTTTATGTTTTGAAAAAAGTCTACAACCTTCTTTATTACATGAGAATTTATAAACATTAGTTTCCTGAAGCAGACCAGATTTTCTATAGGGATTATCATTCATTACAAGGTTTTTAATTTTCTTATTTCGTACGTTTTATAATTTCGTTATCCGTTGTGCTCTTGCTATTATTATGGATGATTGACTGTAGGACTCATTTATACACTTTGTAGCCTCTGTTCATCTGGTTTTGGTAGAAGACCGTTATGGGGGTTCCATTAAATATTGCTTGTAGTTGGTACGGTTCTCTCTCGATTGGTAATTTGATATTTCAGTGTCAACTGTTCTATTTGAAAACCCATTATTCACCACTAGAATTTGTTCACCTTACGTTGAAAACGGTTATCCTATGGTAAAAAACGCCATCCTATGTTAAAAACGTATAATTTTTTACCAATTTATCCTAACTTTACCTAACCTACATGTAGTTATGTTTGCAAAATGCAATTAATGCAATTATCTAAAATGCGGCGAATTGCTATAATAATGAAATTTCGTAGGGATGATTTATCTCATGAGGGGTTTTCTGGGCACTATTAAAATCCTCGTGGTGATCGTGCCTGTCACTACTCTGTTCTTTTCCGTGGTCGAACCAGTATAAGGTTGACCCATGAGTGCGGATGTAGTTCGTTGTTCGCCTGTGACGTCACTGATCTCAGTGACGTCACGGGCAATAATCAATCACCGAAATTCGATCAAACCAGTCAACCAATCCGTCATGGAAATGATGGGATTGTTTACGTTTCTCGATCTCAGTGACGTAACAAGAAAGCTGAACTGTTAGACGGAAATCTTTGTGGGTTAATCTTACATAGTTCATCCATGGTTCTTTTCCTATAAGTTATATGAATTTAACGTCTTTTAAGTCTTATATTATTCAAGCACGCTTCAGTTGTGCATTTTTACGTGCTAATATCATCAAAATGTGCTGTTTCTAACTTAATAATACATTGTAGTAAAACTTGATCAGCATTGTAATTTGTGAATTCGAGTTCACTAATTAGATAGCTAAGGTTTCAGTCGTATCAAAAGTATTACAAAAACTATCATCAAAATTGGCCTGTCACATCGGTGACGTACAGATTAAGTATTCCAGTTATTGATTTGAATTTAAATATGAAGATAGTTGTGACCGTTTCGCCGTGGGATCTTGACTAACCAACTAATTTACCGCAACAGAACTAATTATCTGCGGCGATCGAACGGTGACACAAGCGCGTTAATATGAAGAAAAATATCTGATAAATCTTGTGTAGCTCGAGCATCTACTACTCATAGTCGAAAACTCTCACTGGAATTTGCTTGCTATCTTATCAATGATACAATTTAGCAAACCTACTATGCAAAATTTGAGAATTATACATATTTTCCTGTTGTGATTTATCTCTTGTCTCCGGCTCATAAAAATTGAAAATACTTAGCCAGGATAGCAGTCAAAATTTGAGACTTGTCTCATATTTATAAGGCGAGTTAGCTGTCGAATTCATGGTCGAGAAACTCCATAGGCGACTATCGGGGCTGACCGCATTGATGCATGCTCTTAAGACGTGCTCTGGCCGCAGCATTGCTGCCATATAATAGGCAATTAGATCCATTGGTAATTAAAGACCACCGTACGTAGACCCCTGCCAGCTCCACCACTACAGTTACACTCGTAACCGCGCTTGGGTGGCCTGCTATAAATGATCCCGAATTCCAGTGCTCAAAATTTCGAGTTACTTCTCCGAGCACAGAACATTATTACAATTATTATCAGATTACATTACATTATTACAATTGAAATTATTAGATTGTAAGCAGGTATATACCTGCGATGTCCCTGGTAGTTCCCGTCTGTCAACAATGCAACTCACCTGCAGAACCCTGTTAGTATTCCTTAGCTTTGGCTTTGCCGTTCAGTGGCAGCGGTGCTAATCTGAGGACATTAATATAGCTTACATAGGTGACTAATAATTGAAATATAAGAACTTTGCATACAGACCTTCTGACGTTCAGTTCGCGATTGCTTGTTGCACAGCGTTTGTACACTTCAGGAGCCATACTATCAAAACTCGCTAAGTGAACGTAAGTACTTACGCTCTATTTTCTTGACTATGATTGGTGGATTTTGCTTGCAAGGCCGTCAATGATTGGCTGATGAACTTACGATCTCTTACCTTTTTTTGAAAGTATAGGCCCAGGTCTGCAATTTTCTTATTAGACTTAACATCATATATTCGTGATGCTGATTACCTCTTCAACGATTTTTCGTTGTTGAAATCTTTCAAACGCTGCATTTTAGGTTCGATGTACGAATGGCTGGTTTTGTTTTGTGTGCTCGAATTTTTTTTACAGGTATCAATAGGAAACGACGTCGCTCAAGTTTTCTTTTAAAACTATTTTTTTTGCTTATTCATGACATTTATATTGTAACTTGTACTCTATGTAACTTATTTACGATGGTTATCTTGTGATTTGACTGCCGCCTCGGCAGTACAGTTGTGCTACTCGTAGCTGAAAAGAGGAGATGTTTTTGGTTAGATCTAGGCTACTGTGAGGGACAAGAAGCTAAATTAAATTGAAGAAAAGGAGTACTTAACTCGATATTTACCACCCTTTTTAATCAAAATTGAAGATAGGGAGTAATTTACCTCCACTCAATGTATATTTACCTCGCTTCTAAGGTAAACTTTAAAATAGAATTAATTTAATTCCGCCAAATGAATATTTCACTCGTCTTTATATTATCTCAAGAGATCTAAAAACGATGTAGGCAATCACTACCATTCCTAGTAGTTGCCCGAAGATATTATTAGCGTTTAAAATGTATTAACAAGATTCACCTCAGATTAAGTAGATGCTCATATTTCATTCTTATACCGTAATTTCCGCATTTTTTTACGATCGTCACTGAATAATAATATAACCTCATGACATATTGTTATCGAACATATCCAGGGGTATATTTATATTCATGTCAACGTGAATTTCCAAGCCTATAAAATCTAATTATTGTCCTATTTTCAGATCCATGGCGACTTGCCGGTCAAGACTGAGCAGTGACTTCATCACAACGATCGTTCCTGTTGTCTGCACTTTAAAATTATATGAAAATCAGTATTGTGAATTATTTTAATTAATGTTACTTGATTTTATTCAGGTTTTTCAATTACATGCACTTTGAATAAATGAACTTAGAGGAGCGGCTGAAACTGCACCTCTTCCTTGGTGCCCTTCAGAGTTTTAGATCAAAAATAGGAGAATAATTAACAAGGGGACAAAAATGTAGGAGTATATTGTCGTAATGTGAACATTTTGACATCAAAAACCGAAGCTATCAGATGAAATTACTTACATAGGTTCCAGTAACAATAATTCTAAAATTTGAACAAATGAATTGAACGTTTTATGGAGAGATCATTAATAAATATTATGAAAAGAGTGCTTATTTTAATATAATACAAATGGGGAAAGTGACGATGGTAACTTTTTTCTAGTAAAGTGAAAGTCAAAGCATGAAATTTCTCGGACGTTGTAACAGGCACTCGAGGGATAAGTAGATACCATTGACAAAAATTCATATGAAAACGCCATCATGGAGAAGACGAGATATGTATACGTATAATATGATTAGTTTTGGATGGCAGAATTTGTTGATTTATTCGCGTGCGATTAACGACCAGAGAATTCGTTGATTTAAATTATCAAAGAGTCGGACAATTCTTCAGATGACGTTGGTAGATCGTATAATATGATGCGTATAATATGGGAATACCAGCAAAGTGACTGCAGTGTTCGAGGGACATGGAGGCTGCAAGCAGCGCGAGTTCTTCGATGAGCTGAATAAACCATACTTGATTTTTACTGTTATGTATGGACTGCATGCAAAAAATTTTGTAATAAAAACGTAACACGAATTACTCTAACCAGAGCGAGCATCACACGAGACAAGTGTAGTGATATCGTCGAAGATAAACTTTCTTTTAACACTCTACGTATCATTTAATCACTGAATAGGTTGATCATACATATATACATAGTACATATGTTCATTGCTGAGTGACTAAGTAGTAGCGTGAAAATGCTGAAGATTTCTCGACGCGACGTTGAGTGAGGCAGGTTTTTACAGCCAATGAATTATTGTTAGTACCACGACGATTGCAGGGGCCGCGATTGACAACATTAAGCAAAGTTTTTATTTAAAAAAATACGTATGAAAAACCAAGGCTTAGTAATTAAGTTGTTCATGAAACGAACATGAGACGACTTGAAGCCTGTCGGCGATCTATGCTATGGATTAAGCATGCTCTTTCCACCGCATTTCTGAGTTTTAATGAAAAAAATACTTGCCTACTTATAGGACACTCCACATTAGCATTGAACCAACTTCACACAATTTGATTCTCTGAACCTTGTGGTTTTCTAATTTTTTACCAAGATTGGTACACTTTTAAGCAATCAAATAAATACAAATAAGATATATCATGAATCTTAATTGGTCATACTTCCTCAGAGACCTACCTCCCACATGATTAAGAGTCTATGTCTGCGCTATAACACCCAGTCTTGGCATCTAAAGTAAGTGCTCTCTGATACTGGAGACAGCACAACTGCAAATGCAGCAAGCCTGCTTCTTGTTTCACATGACGACCATCATAAATAAATATTTCTAATAGACAATGTAGAAATTGGTCTCCTGGAAGCATTAGGATACTTTTTGCACTCTAACTAATGTTCAATTAAAGGCAGTTAAGGGCTGATCATGCAGCGTCTTCAACGTTTCCTGTGACATGTGCCAAGATTCCTATTTGAGGGGTAGCTTCCTCGCGTTCAGAAGTCTTATTGTCAAGTTAAATCTCCTATATTTTACTCAATGATTTACCCCTACTGGATTAAAAAAAATCTTAATATCAAGTTTTGCAGCTGTCAAACGGTACCTAGACACTATCAAGCCATCACAGGTATTTGACAAACATTTCTCAGTTGCAAACGAGACTGACAAAAATAAGTTAACAAATCTCAGGATATTTGTGCTGTGTGTCACATTCAAGATATCAGTCTGAATGTGACCAGAAAAATTGATATAGAACACCTACAACATGAAGTAATATACCGTAGGTATAAGTAAATCTAAGGTAACATAAATTAAATAAGCGACTCTAATACTGACCTCAAATATGGAAAGAAAATTAATTACGCCCATTAAGAGGCCTATGCTTAAACAAAACCTTCGCACACGAAATGATTACATTTCAAAGATTTTTGATTCCTCAAGAGTTTAGTTTACAAAAAAAAAATATAAACAAAAAATGCATATTAATGAATCATATTCAAAACTTGGCTTGTGCTATGCTTTAGCAATTCAAGATCAGTGTGAAGCAAATGATTTTATAATGTTTTGGTATTTTTTATTTTTAGTTTAGTTAAAGTGCACAAGAAAAATGTCTTGCAAATGACCTTAATTCTGAAAAAACAAAATGAACTTTAGTAAGAAACTTTAAATTTACAATAGATAGGTAGGTAGCTTTTTGAATGAAAATAATTTGAAATTGTTCAAGCTAGACAAACTTGTCATAAAATACATAATAGGAAGACATGAATGGACATTTTTGTTCTGACCAACCAGCACACATATATGATTGGGAATAGTTAAAAATTTCCATAATTTTTATGTGGACATGGCAATAGACTTTGATAGATAGATAAACACATAATTTGTTCTGAGTTAACTATAAAACAAACAAAAAAAAACAGGTATAGCTAAAATGACATGTTTACCATCATGTAGAAACTTCATCAGGAAAATAAGGTGCAATGAAGCAATCTGCATTATAAAATCCCACTTTATCCAAATTTTTCCAATCAAGCTGCATAGTTAATCAAATGTCACACATACAAATCTCTCAAAGTTTTATAACAGCTAAAGTGCTAAAGAAAATCATACTTGCACTGTCAGATGAGGATAATGTTAGACTCAACAGTGGATCATTATACCTATCTATAACACAAGTTAACAATGATAACAAAAGTGCTTCATTCCAAAAATGTCCAAAATATTATCAAAAGAGAACAAAATTATATAACTAAACCTTTAAGGCAAAATTGGGAGCAAGTCACAATTATGAGTTGATTAAGCAGAACAATATAAATCAATGTTAGGGCATTTAACAAAAAATAGCTCACTGCTGTTTGAATAATTTTTTTAAAGCTAAAATAATTTGAAATCAACTACACTGCACTAACTAATATATTTTAGAGGTAAAATAATAATATAGGCAAACAGTTCATGATATGTAAAAATTTGCTACCAATTACACAAGGTTACAGAGGAAGTTTGCTGGAGCTTGTGAGTGCACATCCAAAAACGTACAAAAATCCCAGATAGAAATTTAGACGAGCAGTCCATTTGGGAATGAGTAGCTTATCCACTCGGAAATGCTTCTCTATTTTGAATGCTTCTGATATGGTCAAAAGAGGGAGCCCAAGCCACAGTGAATACTTGAGACACCAAACTGCAAACATGATATAAGGGATGAAGAGGAAAAATGCAAAGAGCACTTCAGAGGCACTTCTGCCCAAGAGAATAGCAAGCGTCACAATCCCAACTTGCTTGTCTGATTCCATGTCTCTTGTGTTGTTGGAGTGAAGAATGGCCTCAGCATTAAGAGCCAATGGGAGGGCGTAGATGATTGTTGACCACTGAATGTGGCCAGTTTGAACCATGTAGGAAAAGAGCACTGAGATTGGACCAAAGATAATTATTATCAAGACATCTCCTAAACCAATGTACTTGAATCCAACACCTCCAGTGTACAGAAAAGAGCTTGACATTCCCCCAAAAAACACAAGTGCCAGATGTTCAAATCTTGCAGGTGATAACATGGTTAGTAACACAAAACTGGCACATCCAATGAGGTAGAGTAACGCACCTAATGTTACCACTTCATCTTTAGAGAGTATCTTATCCACTAGAGTTCTATCATCACTTTTCTTGCTATCAATTCCTTTGACATAATCAAAATAGGTATTGACCACATTGCCTGCAGCATGCACTGAGAGAGCTGACAAGGCTGTGAGGAACAAAGCAATTAGTGAAGCTGGCTGTACTTTGTGAGCAAGAGCACAGCCCAGGAACACAGGGGTGAGTGACGCACTAAAAGACCAAGGGCGAAGAGCAAACACATAGGCAGAAATTTTGTCACCCAACATTAACTTCATTGACTTCCAGCTGTTGGAGGTGAGACTAAAACTAGTTTTAGGCCTCGATGAACTGGAAGTTGAGGGTGTAGGATCCTTTTTCTGGCTTGTATTCTTGACAATCTCAGGCTGCGATGAAGTACAGCCATTTTTTATTTCTACATTCTCCATTTCATTTCAAGTTTTGATTCAACTAGAAATTAATTTAATTTTTTATCACTCTGTAAACGGATTTCAATACAGTTTAATATATTATTGCACCTGAAAATATCAGTAGCATAAATTAGTCTTATAATTAGAAAATGCTCTCTGGTAGGTTTTTTCAATAGTTGAAACTAGAATTCATGTAATTCAATCAGGCATACTACCATAAAATGGGGGTAACTTGGACCAGTTTTAGCGCTTACCTTTTTGTGGTAAATGTTCACATAGTAAATACATAAAATATATCACTTTATGGCATTTTTATGTCATCTCATGGTACATACCACTTCAAGAAAAATCAACACAATTTTTCTAAGGCAAGAATTTTTTGAGTAAAGGGTTTTCTTTTCTTAAATGTCAAAATGGCCAAGTCACCCTGATTTACTTCAATAGATTACATTCCCTATGCAATCAAAATAATATATACCCCATGCAAAAAAAATGTTCTGGTTGAGATCACTGGCAGAAATGTGCTAATAATTCCACAACTGTGACCCAGCATCAGATGTTAGTTCTTACAGTACCTTAATTACAGGGATTCTGGGATTGAAAAGCAAAGTGATATCCTATATCAACATTCTGTCTATTAATTATGCTGATGATTAAGCTATGAATAATAAATGAATATTAATTCACAGAATAAAAATATTTTGCAACAAAACTTTCATCCTGAATACCTACGTGTTGGGTATCAAATGTTTATAGTAGAGCCTGTGAACCTGCATTTATTTGAATTTACTCCCACATGAGAAAACAAACTATTAACCCTTTAGTGGGCAAGCATTGAAATATCCAGAAATTAAAATTTCAGAAACCATTGCAAGAAAGTAAGAAGTATTGTACAATATATTTATTTCTATGAATTTTTGCAAATTTTGCCTATTGAAGGTTTAAATTGCACTTGAAGAATTCAATAAATGCGATTAGTACACAAAATTTTTCTTTATAAAATTAGAAACATAAAAATTAATTTCAATTAAATTTAATCAAGTTGCCAAAATAAAAAAATATATATATTGATACTGTACTTCCACCTTTTGAAGAAAATGCGGAAAGAGCGTCAATTCCATTGTCCGAGTCAAAACCTTCATTTAAATGCTCATATTTCAATTTGTAGACTTTGCAGCTGGTGATGCTATAGATAGAACGCTGGTCAGATAATTAGTGATTGACTGAGGCATTATAAAGATGCCTCAAAAATAAACAGGAAGCCGTGGTGAGGCTTTTTGTGATCCGATTTCAAGTGATCATATATGGTAACTTACCCGTGAAAGGGTAAATGGAGACTATTCAGTTCTGTTATATATGTATTAATTTAAAATTTTAATAAAAATTTAAACCAAGCTACCTATAACCTTTCAGCACACATGTTCAAACACACTGTAACTTGAAACCTATGCCCAAATAAACCCTCCACATCCATTAATTTTTGTTTGGGGAGGCAGGTCATCATGCCCAGCTGCTTATTATGAATGAAGTGAGTCCCAGTGTGGAATGATTGTGCAGAAAAAACTAAGTTCCCTAGATACTGGTAGGGGGGTAGTGCAGACCAAGACTGGGCACTCTTCGCCAGGACCAAGAAGTACTGCAGATCCTAGAATCACATGCTTCATTCACACCTTTATTCCAAGCCAGCCTCTACCGAACCTCTGTGTACTTTACATCTTGTGATTCAGCACCTGTTAAGGGGAGCATCTGGGTCCCAGAAAAACTTTCCTATTTATGAACAGATCACTTTGAAACTTGGTACACATATGTAAAATATAATTCTAAGACTTTTTTGTTTGTGTAAATTTTGTGAGAAAAATGAAAGAAAATGTGAAATTCTTAGAAAATGGCAAAAAAGAGGCACTGTAGAAATCTATCTCCTCCTAGGATTTCCAAGCTACAACATAGAGACGCATATCATTCGATGTGTTTCACAGTTTCTATTTGCATTCACATATTTCTCAGTTTCTATTCACTAATTCACTATTCAGTTTCTGTCAAGGATGGTGTGAACGACAGCGCACAAACCATCCCACTCCACAGCAGAAGGGTTACTGGAGCGGAGAGTGTGAAGACCAGCTATTTAAGGTGCACTGAGGCAATTATTCCCTATCTTAAATGTTAAAGAACTCCACCACCCCTTGCCCTTTCGCGATCTGTCGTGAATGCATAAATCAACATACAGAGATGGTTTTGGTACTGTTGGATAGGTCAGAATGTCAGCATTAAGATGAGACTAAAAACTGGAAAAGCCAAAATTGTCTATTTTGGACCCCTTAATGATGGAAATATTGACCATTTTTGACTATTGGTGAAAAGTTGGCAACACTTTTGGCTTGTAACTAGATCTTGGCAATGCATTTGCTGCAGTCTGCACCCTGGATAGCTCATATAAGACTTATGTTCATGTAAAATTTAAATCAACATACAGGGTCTGCCATATTTATGTCAACACACATTTTTATTTCTCAATGAAACAAACAGTAAAATAATTTACCATTGGGTAAGCTAAAAGCAAAGAACTACTTACCAAAACAATTTTCAAACATATTTATTCAATATGACCACAATTAAATAACAGACTATCATAAATGATTGAGACTTGAAATATGCCAGCATATTTTGAATCTCAATGAAGATGGCATGCTGCCCAATTTGGTGTTCAGTGACGAGAAGAATTTCAACATTGAACAAATCATTAGCCATCAAAATGACAGAGCTTAGAGTTGTGATATATATGTGGCAACCAGAACAGTAATGCAACATCAAAATCCCAGGTTTGTGATGATTGGGGCAGCGGTAACAGCCACTGGGAGGTTTCCACTCGTTTTTGACTCCTCAGGAGTGAAATGACTCCTGAAATGAGTTTTGACTCCTCAGCAATACATTTATGGCATTTTGGTAGTTGAGTTGTTCCCTTGGGGCCATAAACACCCCAATGGCTCACCATGGAGTTTACAACAAGATTCTTCCCTATGACATGGTTCAAACATAACCCAAACAGGATTCAGGGTCTCATCACAGCATTCATTAGCAAAAATGAATCGCCCTCAAGAAGCCCTGATTTGAATCTTCTTGACATTTTGGTATCAGCTATTTTAGAGAGTAGGGTCTGCAGAACACCTCATGATTCATTGGACAGTTTGAAGCCTAAATTGAAATGAGAATGAGCATGGGCTTGATCCCTCAACAAATGCTGCAAGTCTTATGTAAAGCTTTCCAGCTTAGGTTGGAGCCAGGGTGCCGAGTTTGGTGAATGCGTTGCCAATTTTTACATTTGTAGATCAAAAACATCCCTGGCAGTCTTCAAGTTGCATTAATTAAAAAATTTTGACCAATATTCTTACAAAACAAACTTTGATGAGAGGAGTGTATCTTTAACACCCCAGGTATTGCAGTAGAAAATTGCATTGCAACCAAAATTACCACATAGTGGATAATGTTTTGCAGCCTCAGCCAACCAACCAAAATGGGAAATTTTAAAAACAATGCAGCCATAGGTATATCTTCAGGTATGAAGTTAGTGTCACCAAAAATATGCAAATATACCAGGGAGCAGTAGGTGGAAGCAGCGTCACCAATATATGGGTTTTTAAGCCCAGGCGTCGCCGACCATTTTCAAGATGTGTTGCTGGGTAATTTTTAATGAAAAGCCATTTATGCTGAGTAATGAAAAACTATTTACAAGCCACGAATTTATTTACAAGGTTGCATGCACGTGTTACCCCAAATAACTAATTTTACCCTAAAAACAGTCCGATTGTACAGCAAGTGTCAACTGAACATGTGATGATGCAGTCCAACCGTTCTAATGTGACCGCAACTATGATTTTGTTTACATTTTTTTGCCAGGAACTCATCGCAACCAATTTCCGGACAAGCTTTACTGCGTCCTGATCCATCCAACGAACCAGAAACCTTACTTTTTCTAAATAGTTGGCCGAAGACTGACAAATATATTAAATGCAAGAATTTCAATCTAAATGTGTTGGCAAGATCTTCTGAAGGTGTAAATTTTGCTACTGAAGCATTGCCAAACATAGTGGCAAACCAGAGATTTTTTAGAATTAGTTCATTTTCAATTTCCTCATTTACCCAAGATTTAAATCCATTTCTTATGTATGATACTGCTGGTATCCAGGATACTTTACTGGTCTACTTATAGGACTCACAAATGAACTTGAGGGAGTCTAAAAAACTCTCTGCTTTGCCACAATTTTGACGCCAAAGATCTTGCAATATTCATCCACTCTCTGCACAGTGGCAAATATATATAAAAACAATAATTGAAATCCAAATATGTTGTCAAATTTTTTGAAGGCATAAATTCTACTGTTGATGCCTTACCCAAGATCTTCAGATCAAATCATCAATATGGCAAAGCAGAGACTTTCCTAAGACACTTACTCAAGCTCATTTTTGAGTCCTATAAGTAGACCACTTGAGTATTATTTTACATTATGGATACATAGTACATACCACTGATAGTCTGATGTATGGTCTGATTATCTGATACCACTCATAGGGTAAACGCGGTATATTCCGACATCGTAGGTAATTCCATCACCTCTCCAGCTTTTCCTTTATATTAAGCTTTGTTTTAGTTCCATGCGTTCATTGATGGTTGAAATGGTAACGTCATACATTTGCGTGTCGAAATACTGCAAAAACACTAGGTCTTGGCCATCTAGTGGGAAAATATTGAGATCAAAAGAGAGACAATGCATGCCACATGGTGAGATCATCGAAAAATGTGTCGAATTTGACAGTTGACATGGCTCTACCAAATAGTGAATAACTGTTTTTATAGGAAGAATATTATGGTTTGAGACTTTTAAATACATATGTGAATATATTAGGAATCCTTTAAGTATACTTGTATTCACTGATTTCAAGTCATAAATAAATTAATAGATGATTAAGTTGAGATGTTGGATTTAGACACATGAAAACTAATTCCGACACAACTTGAATTGGACACACACAGATCGTTCAAAGCTTTGTATAAAAATTGAAATTTGCTTAATTAAAAGCCTAATAGCTGTTAATTAAAACGTAATTAAGTAGTGTTCAATATTCGTTAGTGTTCTAATTCAAAGCCATGTTGTATCCCAATACAGCTCACACAGCAAACGGAATTCGAACACGTGGATGTCGGCAATACGTATCAGTTAAATTTGAAGCGCTGACGCAATACGACTCACTATGTGTTGGATGTTGCCACACAAAGTGACGGATCAGGCGGAATATAGGGATTTGGTAGGTTTCCATTCTAAAGGCTTTTTAATAAATATGGCAACGTTTTGTGACGTTTCATTGTTGCTGACGCGTAGTGAAGTGTTTTGAGAGTCATGTGAAGGCAACAGAACTTACGTAACGCATAGGTACGTTTTTTTTTTATAGTTTTTCATTTCTTGATGCGTCCTTAATGTGTCGGAATATACCGCGTTTACCCTACCAGTATAATCATACATGAGATATTGGTTTAACTGTTTAAATCTTGAGTAGATGAGGAAGTTATAACTGAACTGATTTTAAAAAATCTCTTGTTAGCTACTATGCTCTTTAGATAGGCTATTCACCTAATTTTTGCACCCTGCCCCTGGGCCTGGGAATTGGAAGATGCCATTAGAACTTTAGATTTTAGAAGTATGGTTGGTCATATTGAATAACTATATTTGAGAATTGTTTAGGTAGTTTTTAGCTATTAGCTCATTTAATATAAAAATTATTCATCTCTTTGTTCCATTGAGAAATGAAACTTTTCACCGATATAGTAACTATTGCCTGTTGTCCAAATTCTGCAAGCTGCAAATTCAGTTTTCTAGTCAACAAACTTTTAAAGAAAAGAGATCAAAACCTTTTCAAGATGCAACATCAATTTTTATTGTGACTTTGTGTAAAATTTAATTTCTAAATTGATTTGTCAAATGTCAAGTCATGATGACATTGACAATGGCCCAGGCCCCAGAGTCCAGTCTGCCTGCCAGTCTACTTGATTATCTTGATAGAGTCGCTTAGTGTAGGCATGTCTACTTATAGAACTCAAAAATGAACTTGAGGGAGAGTCTAAAAAACTCTCTGCTTTGCCACTATGGGTGAAGGAGACGTGGAGAATCGGTGTAGATATGTACCCATGCCTACATGTCCCATTCTCAGGCGTGCCAGTTCCAGTACAACAACAGTCAGGTCAGGTCGTCACCAATCACAGAGAATCGTGTAGAACCTAACCTAGCCGATAGGTCAACTTCTTCTTCTTCTTCTTGTTACTTCTTATAGGAGCACTGGAAACTGGTCCATTTAGCCCCTTACCTAAACAGTTTTTGGTTTACGCCTAACTATCATATAGTAACAATCTAAGTATCTAATAATCTGAAAGAATCTGCAAGAAAAAAATAACACACACACACACACACGCAAAACAAGAAAACAAAAAAAAAAAAACATAAAAAAAAGGAAAATAAAAATAATCATAAAAATAAATAAAACAAATAAATAAAATAGAAAAATAAATTAAAATACAAATAAACCAATAATAAAATCAAACTTTTTCCTGCGTTTGGGCATTTTATCTGTTTTTTTGTGTAATTTGACGGATTCAACTATTAATGCAATGAAAAATTCAACTATCAATGCAATAATCTCAATTAACTACTCGTCGTCAGACGTCGATAAATGGGCTGAAAAACTTACACACGTCCGTTGTCGTCCGTAGCTTCAACCGGAATCTCAAATTGACTAATGAGTAAAGACCAACAACTTCACAACCAATTCGTACCGACGACCAAAACACTTCCCGATAGGTCAACAGTTACTAAACAATCGTGAGGTCCACAGAAGTGCACTAACTTCTATGGCATTATCACGGCGACAGCAGAGATCAAAACAGGTAAAGTTATAATATTTATTTGAATATATTGCGCGAAAATAATTTGCAATATACCAGTCCATTTCCAAAACCGATGTTGAATTTTTCAGATGATTTACCCCCACTTTGTACCAAGATAAAATCTTATTTCCCGTGTCTCTAACGAACATTGCACTAGTTTACTACGAAATTAAATAATTAGTCAAAAGTTAAAAAAACTTCAAAAATTTCTTTTATTTATAGAGCCAATTGTGACCTGCAATAAATCGGAACACTGATGGGCCAGATTGTCTTGCAGCATTCCCCTCTGTTCTACGGTGCGACTCAACACTACCTACGCAAATGAAAACCCGATTAAGTGCCTAAATAATCGATTTACAAACAATTTTTGAATAGAATCTATTAAAAAGCACATAACGCTTTGAAGAATAACAGATACGCATCCGCTGCCTGCTCCACGGACCGTTTAGCTAAAGTGCTTCAAGTATTCCAAAAAAATTTGATGTCAAGGCAGATTTAACAGAATTGTTTACAGGCATCTATACCTACTAATGGTTCGAACGGTGAAGAGCGTTAAAAACTCAATATCATGGGGGGATATTTGCACGTTACTGAGATGATACGAGTGAGAATGCACGAATGAAATATTTCCCCCACCCCACTTTCTTCCAGGTTAAAAGTTCTTTCTAAAATGAGAACGCGTTTATTTCAAGAAAATTAATATGGCAGGGAATATCAGAGGACAATTTTTGTTGTAGGCTCCTTTCAAGGATTTAAACAACAGTGAAAAGCCAGAGCATTTATCTCAGACGTGTTCTTTTTTCGAGTTTGGGTCGAGTGTTTTCAGCTTCCTTCTTCTCTTTCATGGACTTGTATTCAGCATCTGCACAGTTGAACAGATTTAAATTAAATTCATGGGATTAACAGTACAGTACACAAGACAGTGGAATAATAGTCGTTACGTAGCCGATCTACAGACCTTGCCAAGTAAAGCAAATGTAGATTTCGACCTAGAATATACGTATAAAATTTATAAATAAATGAAGACTATGGACACCAAGATGACAAGAATGTTGTTGCGTAGTAATTGCCCATCCTGGTAGCGGTGACTAGGGAGAAGGAGTGTGATTTTTCAGGGCACTCAGGCCACTACTACACCCACGACCATCACTGGCTCGCTGACTGGCCAGAACCATTTTATTTGCAAAACACAACACCCTGGACAAGCAAGGTACACACGTATTTAACCAGAATTGAATGAATGGCCGAGTTGGCTATGAGCTTAGCTTCCCGTAAGTCCCCTGCGTGGGACTCGAACCCAGGAGCTGGGTGCGAGAGACAGAGTCTCTCACCACTGCATCATCGCAGCTCCTGAATTAATTTATTTATTACATAATATTTAATTAATTGAAATATTTATTACAGCACTAGCAGTAAGAGATGGCGACACACAATCGGAAATAAAATTCTGTGTCCCTTGGCAGGAAAGAAACCACGAAAACGAAAGTTGGCTTTGATTCATCACCGGATAAACAAGGCATTGGTATCTGGTTAAGTATCAGGCATAAGATAGAGAGAGGCAAAAAGAATAAAAAAACAAGAACTAAAGCAAATAACCGGGACAAGAACTACAAATTTCAAATGGCACTGGGGGAGGAAATGCCATTTCCGCTTGTAAGCCTAGGAAAGGGAAGGAAAAGCTAACACATGCCATGGTAGGAGAGTGACTGAATGGAGAAAAAAAAAGAGGAGCTATAACTTAGACTAGTAATGGTCATGGAACAAAGTACCAGGCCCCTGTGTGAATGTTTCCATCTCAGACATCCCAATACTGTAAGAAAGCAGGTATTGAAAAGCAGAGAAAATGCCAAGTCAATTCATGATAGAAGTCTTCAATGAAAGAAAAAATACCTAAACGTGTATATTAATAATTAAAATAATTTAATGAATAAATTAAATAAATAATTACAATAAATTTGAATTAACAAACAAAAATATATTAAACAAATGGTTATTAAAAGTCAAGTACCGGTAAATAATTAATCATGAAACGCAAATTAAATTAATTACCTATATAACTATAAAATATAAAATTAAATTTTTATTGCATTTTAGGCCAAATATGATGAAAAATACGATATAAATACAAGAGAAAAAAACACACGAAAAAGAAGCCACTCAATAGTGACATCAGAAGACACTGAGAAGAATGTCTGATTTATTCAGCATCTGACAAAACCAAAGATAACTTTGATAACAGGATAACAAAAGATAAAGACTGTCTCTTATACACATCTAGATGTGTATAAGAGACAGATATAGGAGAGGTGTTGCGAGCTCCAAGTACAATTCTTAGTGCACTGGACTGAATTACTTTGAGCTTCTTTGAGTGTTTTGATGCAATATCATCAAGTCTGAACAATACAGAGCCATACNGATCAAGGTTCCCTTATTTAATAGAAAATTTATACTACTGTGAACCAAGTTTCTAAAGAACACTGACTGCTGATTGCTACTAAGATAAATTGGCAATTGTTATTGATATCTTCCTCATTCAACCAAACAATTATTAAGTAAAAAATGATCGCACAAACTACTAAAGACATTGGACCTCAAATGATGAGAAATTAAATTTATTTCTATAATGAGGTAAAAGTATACAGACGCACATGTCATCCTGTTTATGGAAGGTCCATAGAGCATCTCCTGCTTCCACTGCAGCGCCTTCTTCAGGAAATAGTCTGTAGATTCTGTTGCGCTCACCACGTGCACTCCAGCTGTAACACAAACAACAGTCAACAGTGGTACAATTAGTTACAACACAGACAACAGTGGCACAATCAGTTACAACACATCCTTACAGGTGCCCAACAACCTTACATAGATAGATACTATATATGCAGGCATAAGTGAAAAATAACTAAAAATATACATAAATGTATTTACCGTAGTACATATAAATCATATCTCTCACTTTAATAAAGGGAATGGTAGAGCATCACTGACTTATAAAAATACTAGCAAAGAAAATGCAGGAATAAATGAAGGCAATGAACCTCAAAATTAACAAGGGTCAGTATACATGTATGAGCATGCGGCCAATGGTACGGTACAAATTGAAGACTTCTTGCAACTCCCTTAAAAAACTGATAGGAACATAAAAGGATCATTAAATCTATCGATATGAAACACTTTTACTTACAGATTCAATCTTTATTGTGTATCAACGAAAGGCTAGGTATTACTCAAGCTTGCTTATTCTAAATTAGATAAATCTATGAGAAAAATATTGGTACTAACTAAATTGTGAGTCAATTTATAGGACTTGAAAGTTGAACAGGAGGAGTCTAAATAATATATGTTTAAAAATTACTTTTTAAAGACAACACTTCCAAAGAATCCAGTGTCTCCAATCTTAAAGATGTACCGTAAAATGGGGTAACTTAGACCACTTTTTTTCTTATAAATGATACCATTTTCTTACTAGCTAAATTAAACTTGAATTGAAACATGCAAAA